AAATAATTGAATTTTTTAGAAAAGTAAATGAAGGGGGGCCGGCACTGTGGCGCAGAGGGTAAACGCCCTGGCCTGAAACACCAGCATCCCATATGGGCGCTGGTTCTAGTCCCTGCTGCTCCTCTTCCGATCCAGCTCTCTGCTATGGCCTGGGAAAGCAGTAGAAGATGGCCCAAGTCCTCAGGCCCCTGCACCCCCAGTGGGAGACCCAGAAGAAGCTCCTGGCTCCTGGCTTCAGAATGGCGCAGCTATGGCCATTGCAGCCATCTGGGGAGTGAACCAGTGGATGGAAGACCTCTCTCTCTGTCTCTACCTCTCTCTGTAACTCTGTCTTTCAAATAAATAAAAAAATAAATCTTAAAAAAGAAAAGCAAAAGAAGGAAAAATACATGAAAATAATAAAACCAATAAATCAGGAGAAGAAAAAGCAACAGGGGTCTGTATAGGACAACCGTTGTGAGAGGGAAGGGAAAGAACAGACCATGAAGACTGGTCAGACATGGAGCCTGCTGCTGAGCAACCGGAAGGGCAGAGATGTGAGAAAAGTGATGAGATCAACGTGGTGGGAACGGGGAGAGGAGATTCTGGGACTGACAGGACTCCCAGGGAGTTGCTCTGCAGGAAGAAGCCTTCGGAGAGTGGCCAGGGAGGATACAGCAGAATTAGGAGGCACCCACACGGAGGAAATCATCAAAATCATGGCATGCAGAAAGCTGCCAACACCGCGCATGTTAAGATCAAAGGACCTGACAGATAACGTGGAGAAGGAGTGTAGGATGTGAGGGAGAGCAGCAGCAAATGCCAGGAGGCAGAAACGCAGGTAAGAAGAAAGGAGAGAGTGAAGAGGACAAGGCAGGCAGAAAAGGCTTTGATAAAGAGAAATGACAAAAGGTCTCTATTTGATCTGCGAAATAAGAAGTAACTGGTGAGACAGGTGACAGCGGATGAAAAGAAAAAAGCTCAATAGCAACTAGTTGAAAAACAGTGAAGACTGATAAAGGGTAATACAGGTCAGGGGTTGCCAACCCAGATGTCAAAGGGGCCACACAGATAACAAACAAGGACAAAACAGGCTGACTATATGAGAGGACTGCACAACCCTCTGGGTCTTTCATTTCTCACATTTGACAGAGTCGTTGGTACAGAGAAATGTCCCTGTATTAAAACATACACACGCATACACGCACACACACGCACGCACACACAAAGTGCAAGGAAGCCTGTGACAAATGGCAAATGACCCTTCAGCTTGGTGTTAGAGACAATAGGGAATGGTAATATCGGTAGCAAAATGGAGAATGCACGTCCCAACTAAAGCAGAAGCAGAAACCCAGCTGCGAAAGACTGTTATCATGTGAGAATGCAGTCCTCGTGTTGTCAGTTCCCCAGTGTGTCAAGAGAAACAGAAATCCAGATTTTTTATGCACATCCCCTTGTTTTTTCGAGGTTAGAAGCAACATGGCATGAGCCAACAGAACAGACTCGCAAGCCTAATCCGGCTCACTGCCAGTCTGAGACCTCCTGAATCCACTGTGTCTTCATTCAGTCTGCCATGAAAGAATGAGGAAACACAATGGTGGTTTGCAAAATAAAAAAAATTGAGGGAAGGCTTTTTGTTTGCTTAAGGGTGATGAAGAACTGAGTATTTTTGTTGGCTGGTAGGAAGATAGCCTAATGATCAATGGGAAGAGATATGAAATTACATGAAAAGGTGGTGCAATCCAGAGACAAAAAAAAGTTTATTTAATTTTGTTGGGTTTTAGTACACTTTTTTGATAAATAATAATCAGAGAGAGGAAAATCTTTGTTAAGTCCAATTCAAAATTAATTGACCAACAAGTAGCAATAATTATGAGACATGCTGTTGCTACCTCATTTTGTAAAGCAGCAGCTGTTACAGGTGGTTGACAACCCTACAGATAAGACAGGTCCCACTGGAAGTGAATATAATTTCATTATTGAAATAAGAGTTCTTGTGCTGGCAATATGCCAGTGGGGACTGTCAGCATGGATTAAGGGTGTGTCACTGAGCAGCTAGCACCCCTCCTTTTAAACAATGAAAAACTCTCATCTGCGAGAAGGAACTGGATTTGACAGTCAAAATTCCTAAGTTTCTCATCATTTGGAAGCTGCTTAATGTCCTAAGTACACCACACACACACACACACACACACTGTGTTCAATTGTTGTGATAAAGCCTCCAGTTCTTATCATCCAGGTTGGCTCAGAGAGAGGAAGCAAAAGAGAGCCACAGACAATCTATAGATGTCAGAAGCCAGAACATGTGGGACTTGGCTCTCGGGCTGAAGTCATCAATACCTCTACTCTCTAGATGAAAGTAAGGGAAATTCAAATTGGGTGAATAAATTTATCATAACTGTTTTAGGAATTTTCCAACACAATGTCACAAAGACTGGAGGTCTGGTCAAAAGACAGAGTGGTGAGGGAAGGGAAGAAGGAAGACAGGGAAGAAGAAAGGAGTATGTCAGGACATTCTGAAATGTGTGTGTGACTTTCTGAGATGTCTTCAACCCCTCTAATGTATCAGTATCATACTACATTGACTTTCTTCTCCCTAGTTTATGGAGTCCCTTACATACCCAAATGTCCCTTTATTCCCAAAGTATGCCTTCTGCTCCTTCAGGCTGGCAAGTGCCCAGTGAACTGGTGCAAGGACAGGCACCTCAAGAGCCTGAAGGAATCCCCACTCTACAGAGTTGTTGAAGACAGAGTCAGCCCTCTGTATCCATGGGTTCCACATCCACGGATTTAACAAGCCACATATTGAAAATACTTCCAAATAAAAACTTTGTATTACATACAGCATAAACATAGAGCATAACCACTATTCACATTATATTAGGTATTAGAAGTAATCAAAGATGCTTCAAATCATACTAGAGAATGTGGGTAGATTGTATGCAACTACTACACCATCCTATATACGGGACTAGAGCATCTTCAGATTTTAGTACCTGCAGGGTAGGGTATGCGGCGAAGGTATAGACATCTGTAATGACTACCCTGAGTCATCAAGAACAGAGCTTGATGGGGTAGGCATTTTGTTATACCGCTTGAGATACCAATATAGTATATCAGAGTGCCTGGGTTCAAGTCAGCTCTGCTTCCTGTCCAGCTTCCTGCCACTGTACATGTTGCTAGGCAATAGGTGATGGTCCAAGGACTTGGGTCCCTGCCACCCATGTGGGAGATCTGGACTGAGTTCCAGACTCCTAACTACAGCTTGGCCCTGGCTATTGTGGGCATCTGGGGAGTGAGCCAGCAGATAGAAGAGCTCTTCTGTCTGTCTCTGTCTCTTTTTTTCTCTGCCCTTGAAAATAAATTAATATTTTTCAAAAAACAAAAAAGAATAGAACATGCTATAGTCTACAATCTTGTTCAGAAGGTAGGAAAGCATATACTACATTGTAACCTGATTATTTTTAACAGGACTTCTTTTTAGTGGTTTTCAAAAGAAATGTTCTGCTGCTTGAAAATTTTTCTTGGGAAAAATATCTTCTCTTCCAAAGAAACCAGCTGGAGGGGGCAATTCTTCACTCTCATCAGTGTGACTCAAAGCAATTTCCTCTAACTCATAAAGACTCTAAATGTGGGCTCCCCCTCACCCCCCATCCGCGGGATCTCGGTTCAATTTTCATCTTAGTGTGGACTTTAAATCATTTTCACATCATAACATGTCAACTGTTTATCCACCCTCTTTAAGCTCAGTCTTGGAGCTCGAAACATAAACATCCTTCATGGAGCCAGCTTTGTTTGTGCAGACTTCGTCCCCTGGAAAAGTTATGATCAGCAGGAAATGAAAACAACCCGCACTGCCTTTGTTTTCATTGATTTCGGTGACATTTTGAAAATGGACCACCTAAGCCAAACCAAATCCCAGGCCTCGATCTGACCAAAATCCGAAACGAGGAACTTCACGCGGAACATTCAAACCTCAATTGTCTCCGGCTACAGCTGAATGAAAAGCTCAGATTAAAACTGGCACCGATTTACTTCCTACAAACATGCTTTGTTCCTGGCTAACTTGTCAGCTCATAAAAAACGCCTCCATACAAGCAGCTGTCTCATTCAAGATGCTGAATCCTTTCATGGTCGTCAATTCAAATGTGTTACAGACAGAACCCAGTCCAGGACCCTTGCTCTGAAACCCTGGCCCAGGGTGGGGGCCTCCCTGCTTCCCTGGGATGCCTTTCTTCTGATTTGATGACTTGCGTTTTCAACAAATGGTTATGGAAAATGTGGTGCCCTTCATGGAATCCCCTCCTCATCCTGCTTCCCAGAAGCCTGGTTGTGGAAAAATCCAGCCCCAGAGGCAAAACAGAGGAGGTCTCTGAAGTTTCCCGTTCTTAATCCAGCTCTTGCTCCTAGCTGTTCTGAGCTAGTTTCAAGTCTTTGTATCCTTAAATGTTTAAATGAGTTGACCAACTTGCAATGACCACCCTGAGCTCGTCTGCTAGAGAGAAATCAAATTGAAATTACGGCAAACCATAAAGTGGCTGATGAGTAACCATTATGTCTTTCCCAATGAGCCAGTAAATAAATTGATGACACATCCGAGATGCCTCATTATTTCTTGTATTGTTTAGAGAGGCACTGTCCACCCAGCCTCCACATGCGCAGTGATACATACCACCAGACAGACTGGGAGTAGACAGGCGCCAAAACAAGGAGCCCCCTTGACTCTCTGCTCCAGATGCTGCTTTGCCCACGTTCTTCCGTTCACCCGGAATGACCCACCTTCTCCTCTCATCCCATTCTGCCAGTCTTCTCTGAGAGCACACTCATGCACCCAAAGCCCAAGTGCTGTTACTATGAACTACGTTAGCACTGCCCTAACAGAAAGATAATGTCAAGTGCTCAGAATCTATGGATGCAATTCTCCATTCTGACATCCGTTAGCTGCGTGACCCAGGATAAGTCCCTAAAGCCGCTGAGCCTCAGGCTCCTTGACTATTAAATGGAAACAGGAGTACCTTTCTTGCAGAAGGATCCTTCAGAGTTCGTTCCCATCCCAGTTCATTGTGGTGTGAGGGAAGAGCAGTGAGGTTGAAGTGCTGCAGTTGCCCCGTAGCAGAATCTGCGTAGGCCATCTGAACAGAGTCCTGCACTCATTCCTGACAGCAAAGAAGATAAAGGAAGCAGCTTTGCTAAGGCAAGACCTAAAAAATCATTTTTAAATACATAGTATACAATAGGTAGGATTTCATAGTTGTTAAGGGCTGATTCATATCCTCCCAAAATTCATAGATCACTCAGTGCCTACCTTCCAGGGGGTCTTCTTGCTTCTTTTTATTTTTTTTTTAGTTTAATTAATTAATTAATTTGAAAGGCAGAGTGGCAGAGAGAGAGTTAGAGATCTTCTATCTTCTGATTCACTCCCCAGATGCCCATAGCAACCAGGACTGGTCCAGGCTAAAGCCAGAAATTCCATCCAGGTCTACCACATGAGTTGTAGGAACCTGCTGCCTCTCAGGTGCACTAGCAGCAACCTGCATCAGAAGCAGAGGTAGGACTCCATCCCAGGCACTCAGGTATGAGATGCAGGCATCCCAAACCGTACCCACTGTGCCACAATGTCCACCCGAGGGCTTTCTTCTAAGATATCCAGCCTGCCTGACCATGTATTCTTCATAGCACATCACACTCTGTTCTATGTCTCCCCCCATTCTCCCTCCCTCCCAGAAATTCTGTGCTGACCTCAGGTCTCAAAACCACAAGCTAGAAAATGAAGCCAAACAGATTTGATGCATGAGATGATGACAATGATGATTCATTTGTTTTCTCCAGTGTTCGTGACATTGGAGTTGCCTTGTCTATGCAGAGGGAAGCAAGCTCTGGAAAAACCAAGTTTCTCTTATAGATGACTCATGCTACCTTCCACTCTTCCTCCAATTTCTTTGTATTGAAGGAGAAAGGGGAAGAGGACACCAGACATCCCCCCTAAACACTTTTCTCCACCCCATCCCCCATCACCCCACTGCAAAATGCTGAGAGACTCAGGTCAAATATCGATGTACTTTGAGTAATTAACCCCTTTTAAGTGAAGCATCAGAAAAGCACTAGCCAGGGCAGGTACTTAACCTCTGTCTCCTGTCATGCCATCTTTGATTTTCCCCTTGACTTTCCACTGTCAGCACTTGGCCCCAGGTCACTAATGGAGTAACCAGGCCCTCACTCCTACCTACTACAATTGCCACACCCATTTCCTCCCAGCTCTAGCCTGAAAGTATCAAGTGCATTTGATGGCTCTGTACAAGCTTGTGTGTGTTTGCTTTGATTGTAAAGCAAGGTCAAGAGCTCTCCTGTTTTATTAACATTTAGATGAGTGTCCTGGAGCCACTGACTAAAGCTAAACTAAAAAAAAAAAAAAAAAAAAACCACTAAGCTTTTCATTACCCCTTCACAACCACCTATATAGCATTTTACATTTACATCATCCTTTATGCTTCAGAAAGCACTTTGCATACATCTTCATCAGGTCTAATAGGCAAGTTTTCATTGTGTTACTGACAACTTATTGATTTGGAATTTAGATATAGGGTTCTAAAAAAATACCTATGCCATGCCAGACATGGTAATAAATGTTTCCACGTACATTATCTGATACAAACTCCACCGCAACCTTGCAATGACCACAGGACTGCAAAGTATTTCCATTTATCCAGACAGGTATGTACTGTGTGAAGGGAAAGTGGTTGGTAGTAGAAATAAATGAGTCCAGAAAGACAAAGATAATTAGATGTGTGCTTATTGTTCCCATTCAAAATATACGAGAAAGAAGTCAGACGAGGGATATATGAATAGCTAACAGGAGAATTTTGGGTAGAAGCAAAAGTTCAATCCAAGATGGTTTCACATTCTCCCTGCAGAGGCACGGGTGAAAGAAGGAGAGAGACCAAACCCACTATTAACCACGAGCCCGCCAGGGGAGTTTGCTCCTCTAAAAATGGTGGCTTAATTCACCAACACCTAGCTGAGCTCCTCTGAATTCTAATATCTGTACATTTCAGAAAAGGAGGTGATGAAAGGTCACTCAAGGAAGATCTGAAAATGATTGCAGCACAGACACAAAAGTACCAGCAAGCAACTGCCTCGTGCACAGACAACTCTAGCAAAATCGTCGAAGTCTGATGGAATTAACCTCATGCCAACTAAGCGAGCAGCTTCATAACTCCTCTTGTCGGAGATTTTTCCAGATGAAAGAATTAAAGACAGGCCGAGTCAGAAGAACAATAAAGCAGGTAACAACTTGCATTGAACAAAGAGAGCCATTCTTGTGATTGGCATGCCACCGGTCACAGTTCAGCACACAGTGAGATGGTCCCGCTCCCTGTGTGACTCACACAATCCCCGCAGGGAGACAGGGCAGCCAGAATATGAGCAGTGAGTCCCAGTGAGCACAGGGCGCTCTCTGCCACTGGGACTCTCACTTTCACAGAGGTCACATTGCTCCCTCATCAGAGGAGCATTTTCAAGCGGCCCAAACAGCGCACGTCTTTGACATCTCAGGCAAACAAATGGGGTATTTTGACAGATAAGCACAGGAAATTACGATTCTGATGAAGCTGGTTGGATTTTCAGAGAGGAGACTATAAATAGGTATACTAGCTGACGTGACGCAGTGTTCAGTCCGGCCTCATCTCAGTGCAGCGTTGTAACAACCCCATGATGTAAGTACTATTACCATTCATGCTGTAAAAGTGAGGGAACTGAGACCCACAGAGAGGTTAAGTAACTTGCCCAAGGACACAGAGCTGGAAATAGCAGAGCCAAACTCAAATCCAAGAGTGCAGGGCACCAGAGGAGCAGAGCCTTGATTTACTGTAATACCGCTTTTTAAAGCCTGCCCTTAGAAGAACTGGAGAGACACAGGCATGGAGATGCTTCAGTAAAATGATATTTTTATCTTATAATGCAGGTCTGCATAATTATAAATGGTCTTGCATCCTGGTATCCACCTTGTTCGCATCATGAAAATCCATCGGGCTTCCTCAGTTTTTGGATTCATTTGCTTAATGTTTAGGTGCCAGTAAGAACAACTCATTCCCTTCAGCCAACACTGGGAGCCCACTCTACATCATACTTGTTTAAACTACCATGAATAACTGAATGAATAAATTATTTATCTATGGGAAACCAACACATTGCCAGTTGAACACCAATTTATAGCTTTTGGTTACCAGTACACAGTACTGACAAGCACTTCCAGAGTCAATTTTAGCTCTTGGGTTGATTCCACATAGTCTGCCACACTCATCCACCAACTAATATGACTTGAGCTACAGGTGGCCTTGAAAACTGGACAAGAGGCTGGAAAGATTTTTCTGTAAATATGTAAAGTCTGGGGACCAGATGATCTCTGTCATGACTACCTCCCTTTGCCATTGTTGCCATTATTGCACCAAAGCACCTACAAACAGTATATAAACAAGTGGAAATGGCTCTATCTACAAAAACAAATGGCAAACCAGATTTGGCCCACAGGATAAAGTTTGCCTATCTCCAAACATCTGTCCCAGACAAAATATGACATCCACACCCATCCCAGTCACTCACCAGGACAAAAGAAAGCATTCTAAAACACATGAGATCTGCAAAGAGTGGCTAATTACCGTAGAGCTGCTAACCACATCTAAAATTAATACAGTGAACTGTTGATTCAGACTAACTTGCCTAACTCAGTAGCCACTGAATATGAACCCCTCCACTTACCTCCCCCTCTGTCCGTCCATTTCTATAACATTTATCATAGTAGTTAAAAGAAATATGTGTTGCAATTATTTTTAGTTTTAAGTTTTATGCCTAAATTCTGCCTTCTAAATAAGGGATATTTCACATTTTTTATTTTTAAAAAAAGCCCTTAGAGAATGTGTTCCATTTTGTCCTGTGTTTAGTTCTAGGTCACTAGGAGAAAAAGCAGGCCCAGTTTATTATAGCATCACATGCCAAGAGCCCAGCTTTAGGGTCTGCGGAAAAAGAGGAGAGAGACAGGGGTCATGCTCCTTCCTCTCGCCTCCCCCTAAGTCCCATGTGAGCCCCTTGGAAATGAAGGATAGAGAGAGAAGAAACGAGAAATCATGGGAATAGATTAGTCATATGACAACTATTAGCTCTATAAATTCATTTTCATTTTTTCCTCTCCCTTCCTGTTCTATCTTTCTTGAGGCCAGAAGACCCAGCTAGGAAGCTGTAATTCAAGCACAAAGCAAGAAGAAGCTGCCCACTCAGTGTGGGGGGAGCTCCGGGTCCACCCCGGCTGCCTCCCTGCTCTCCATGGCCTCCTGGTGCAGCCTCCAGGTACCCTCTAACTTGATCTATGTACAGATGGCCATTACCAGGCCACATCTATAGATTCCCTACTCATCTGCTTCCATGTTGCCTGCTTGTCGGTTTCAATAAACACTTTAATTAATTAAATATTTTTAAGTGTTTGATTATGTGTCCTATAGAAGAGGGTACCATTTTTAAAATCAATGATGGGGGGAGGAACGACTCGTAGGACTTGTGAGCTGGAACATCTGGTGGTGCGCATATAAAACCAGGGATGAGAAAGAAATATTCCAAACCTGGAATTCTATAACTCGCTTTGCAGCGAAGCTTGTTGTGAAAGTCCCCAGAGATGTCTGAGTGGCTATGCCTTTAATCTGGAGAACTGAGGCAAGCAGGAGAGGATGTCTGCCCGCCCCCAACAAAGGCAGAACCAAAGGATGTCAATCAAATGTCAGCTGTCCACCTGGAATAGAAAGGAGATCTGTTATCTCTGGTTATTCAGAGAAGCAAATGAGGAAAAACAAAAGAAAACCAGAACACAGGTGATAAGCTCACAGCAGCCTGAACAGTCCTGGTTTCCCACATGCGGATAGGTCTAGTTATCTGGTGGACTCAGGATTCTTCTTTGAGGCAGGAAAGACATGGGCCTCCTCCAGCTGCAAAAGGAAAATCTATGCAAGGACAAATGGGTGGGGCCGGCGCTATGGTGAAGCTGGTTAAAGCCCTGGCCTGAAGCTCCGGCATCCCATATGGGTGCTGGTTCGAGTCCCAGCTGCTCCTCTTCCAATCCAGCTCTCTGCTATGGCCTGGGATAACAGTGAAGGATGGCCGAAGTCCTTGGGTC